GTCAGTGGCTGGATTTTAACGAATCTCGGAACTGGTTGAAGTAGCCTTAAAGTTAATATAAAATTCAATGACTTCAAAATAAACAAGGTTATTTTAATAATTTTTTTATAAAATAATGAAAACATAATTTACACTTTTAAATGTACAAGTTATTACAACCCAAAGAAAAAATTTCATCTCTGCAGCCTGCACCTTTCCACAGAAATAAACAGGAAACATACAAATCAAAGGTAAAAACAGTACCTTTTCATCTCAACTACTTTCTGCAACAGTGGCCAACATGTTCAAAAAATAAATTATATATAAAAAAAAATTCAAAAGAAAAAAAAACATCACTAAGTTGTTCAACAGCAAATTTGTGTATACCTTAAATAGCTTAAAATTATACATAACATGATCATGTATTTGTACATTTATAAAAAGAAACCTCTAGCCTTTTACAAAAGCAAACGTAAGACTAATTAAAATCACAGCAACACGTCTCAAAGCTGCGTGGATGAAAGATTTCCTACACGGTAAACCTGAAACAGGAGCTGCAGCTGCTGAGGTCCGACAGCAGAATGATCCGAGTGTACAATTTAAATGGAAAAGTACAAAAACATCATCATGTAGAGGATCAAACAAAGACGTGACGTTAAAGTTGATGTGTTTACAAGACCAACATGTAGCAGGAGGAAATTGGTTTTTTAAAAGCAGGAATCAGTAAAAAGTTAAAAACATCTCATCACAACGTTTTGCATTTAGTGAGTTAATGGAAAAACAAACTGTTAATATGACAATGTGATCACTTTATAAAGCCTGTTTCTGGCCTGACAGGCAGATTGAGAGGTTTCATATTAGACTTTTTCCATATCAGTCATAAGAAATATTAAAGGGACGCATATCAGCAGCACAAACTTTGAGATGGTGATGATTTAGTGTAACTTAACAGCATCTTAAGGAACCTGAGTAAGTTGGAAAATTCAAACTGATGCAGTCTGATTTGATTTTTAGTAAGAATTGTTTGTTTTTTGAAGTCTCTCAGATTTGTCCTCAGTCATCCACAAAGTACCAGGATCCAAACTAAGACACGTTTCTGTAGGAAAAATAGCTATAGTAGACAATATTATCAATAGGGAAGAAATAGTTTTTGTGATCATTTGGGTTCACTACAGAGTATATAAATGCGCACACACACACAGACACACACACACAGACACACTCTGGAAAAGCTTCAGTGTTGTTCAGTGACTTCCATGTGCAGTAAATGCTCCCTGTGGTGACAGGGCTTCATTTGGAATTAAATCACAGTAACTAATTGGTGTTTTGAAGAGTTTTGCTCCTAAACCGTCTGAGAGTTTTTTTTAAATCTGGGGGGCTGAAAAACTAAGTTATGCCCCAAAAACAACATCTTTACTGTAAAAAAGGCTTCTTTGTTAAAAGAATATGAATCTACAAGCCAAATGTTCAGTTAAACTAAGAAGGCACACACTTTCCTTTCAAGTATGGCATTAATTTACTTTCTTTAATATTTATATTTAAAATAAGTTAATTAGATCTGCGTTTTTCTTATTTATCTCTTTCTCAAAATGTCCTCACTCTCACACACCGGATCAAAACTAATGAGCCATTAAGTTCAGATCTGAGATGAAACAACAGGAGGAACAGATATGTTAATGTGTCGCTGAGTTCGTGGCAAGAACGCCTCATCAACACGACCATCACGAGCCACAGTTCATCTGTGTAAACAGAGGACAGGAGAATACAGTGGTTTGCAAAAGTATTCATACCCCTTGAACTTTTCCATATTTTGTCAYATTACAACCACAAACATAAATATATTTCACTGGAATTTAATGTGAAAGACCAACACAAAGTGGTATACAATTGTGAAGTGGAAGCAAAATTTTACAT